AAAATAATCAGAAATTACACCAAAAAAAGATCAAATTTTGCTAAATAAATTATGCGGGGTGCATAAACACCGGGGACAGAATTACCTTCGAAGCTGATCATGGAGAGAATTCCGTAGGTCTCCTCGGGACATCCCGGCTGGTGTTCTCCTCCGTTCGGGTAGAAGTCGACGTGGCCGATTGAGTAGCGGGTGCCAAATCCTGGGATGGACAGAAAGTAGAAAGGTAGGTCAGAGAAGAGTGCAATGTACCGTACTTGAAAGAATGGTAAAAGGATTGACAAAGACTAGAGAATTCAGAGGAGTTGATTGAAGAGTGATTTTAGTTTAGTCAAATCAAAAGGAACAAGGGCTTCTGCAAGCTTGATACAAACACTTAAACACACACACACGCACACGCGCGCGCGCACACACACACACACACACACACACACATTATACATATATAATATACATGTACAAACATACACACATATTAGCACAACACCACTTTAATTAAGCGTCCGTATTGCCGTATACAAACAAATGTATAAACTCGTCCACGTCATAGACACAAAGGCTCACGCAGAGTAAACCAAACGACCACACAAGTAGCCTACTAAGTACTGTCACAGAGTAACAAACGCACATCATGTATAAACAAACAAAGACTGGCATTTTTGGTATTATGACGGTTAGGCGCTTCGCCGTCGCCCGCAGGAAACCCAAGTTCGATTCCTGAGTGGGGAGAGATTATTTATACATGTATCAAGTTTTCAGTCTTTCTGCAGGGATGTTGCTGTATCCGTAGCCTTTCAGTCTGGACTGGTCCTGGTAGGCGAAGTCGGAAGCCCGCCTCCTAATAGATAATCTAAACTGTGTAGATGGGGTAAAAAAAACAACAACCTTCATTCAAACAAACAAACAAATACAATATAACTGACCAGCATCCAACAGAGCCTCAGCGTCTGTGTGCATGATGTCCACAAAAGTAGCGTCTGACTTGTCCACTCGCACAACTGAGGAGTAGCTCTCGAAAAACGGACCCGCTGGGTCAAGACCTGAGGGTCAGAGGTCACAATTAAGTTGGGGTTTTGGGGGGGGGGTTGTATTATGGGAATAAGAGTAATCGAATGTCATATTAATTGTGCTCGAATGAGAATAAGGCTATCCCCGTAGTTTTAATGCACCCGGCATAATTTAGCAAAATTTGAAAATTTTTCGGCATAATTTTTTAATATTATTTTCCTTTATCATTCTTTGTTAAAATTAACAGAATCGCAAAATTTCACATTTTTGGATTCAGTTTGCATAATTTCATAATTTTTCTTGCATAAAACGACGGGGGCAGATAAGAGTACTCGAAGGTCATAACTATTGTGCTCGCGAGAGAATAGGATTACTCGAAGGTTATGTGCTCGATAGAATAAGGGTATCGTACTCGAAGGTCATAATTGTGATCATGAGAATAAGAGTACCCGAAGGTCAAAACAGTGCTGATGAAAATAAGAATGGTTGAAGTGAAGGTCATAGTTGTGCTCATGAAAAAAAAAGAGTGGTCGAATTCAACTTTGATTCTGTGTGAAAAATACACTGTACTTTTAGAAACGCTTGAGTTATGAATTACATTTCAGACATAATTTCAGCTCCAACTACAAGAGAGTTCTTCGTAATCACGGTTTAGAAGTTAAAAGTAAAAGGTATTAATTTTACTTAATCAAAGATATGAACGTGGGTAGTTGGCGGGTGCTCCAGTGTGGTTTGCTCCCTCTTTCTCTTGCCTTTCCTAGCAAACATCTATCGTTCTAATCGCTCTTCCTTCTTTGTATGTTACTATCTAGTAACACTTCTAATCTTCGACACTTTCGTTTAGTTTTAGTAGAGGTTTTACGGTGCTCACAACTGCATGACCTTATTGTGTTGCAAGTGCCGTGAAAAAAACTCTCGCTAAAACTAAAGTTAAAGATATGAACAGTTTTATTCCTGTCCATGGCAGTGAAATGTCAATTGACCAAAAGTGGAGGTAGTCAATATTTACTCGTACTTTCAAGGGCATAATTGAACATACAAATTGCCGATAATTATAATAATATTATGTTGTGGATCTTGTTCTGCTTTATGCTACATATAGTTGATTCGCTCGTTTGTTTATTTTTATAAATTGTCTGTTATATATTCATCTGTATATTTGTCATTAGGTGTGTCTTTGATATGTCTATACGTATGTCTATGCTGGTATGTATGTTTGTTTACATGTGTTTATGTGTAGATCTATACATTTTTTGTCCAATCGTTTGTCGGCGTTTTTGTCTACGTCAAAGTAGTAATGGTAATTTAGAGTTGGACACAAGAAAAAGATTACTAACACGAAAATGGATTATTTAAAATTTAACCGAGAAATGGATGACTGACACAAGAAATTGATGATTTACATGAGAAACCGATGACTGACAATTTAAAGAACTTCATAAAACCACGGGGACAGACAGACCCGCCATACCTGAAATCCTTCCCAGTTTGGAGTTTCGCAGCCTCTGGATCTCTTTGCCGGCGTAGCCCATAATGTGAGAACCCAGGGAATGGCCGACCATGTGGAAGTCCTGGACACAGAACAATAATCGTCCGTAATCATAATTACTCCCTTTCTCTCTTCTTATCTTCTCTTCTCTCTCTCTCCCTCTCTCTCTCTCTCTCTCTC